TTTGTAATTTGTCCTACTTTCCACTTTGACTCTTTTATGTTTAAATCATGCAAGATCTCGTGGTTGAGCCAAGGCAGTCTTTTGCCATATTTTCTATCTTTCCAACGCAGCGGAATAGCTTGCTTTTGGGCCCTTAATGTCCCTTTGAAAAACTGCCAACTCTCCTCAGTTGTTTTTCCCCCTCAGTCTTGATTCCCATGGGACCTTACCTATCAGCTCTCTGAGCTTACCAAAATCCGCCTTCCCTATTTTGCTGTTCTCCCTTCTACCCTTCCTTAGAATTGTGAAATCTCTGATTTCATGATCACTTTCACCAACTGCCTCCCAGTTTTGCCCTGACCCTCCGTTCTCTCTGTCATTGTAGCCCACGCTCCCTCACATGTCCGACCCATCTCCCAGGTCTCCATGTTCTCCACTTACCTGTGGGCTTTGCTTACCTGTCCCCATCAAACCTAGTTTAAAGCCCTCCTCACTAGGTTAACCACTGTATCCAAATAGGGTCTTCTCCCTCCTCGTAAGGTGAACACCATCTCTGCCCAGCAGTCCTTCCTGGAATAGCATCCCGTGGTTGAGGAAGCCAAAGCCCTCCTGGTGACACCATCCTCGCAGCCAGGCATTCACATCCAGGATGCAGCTGTCTCTGCCCAGGCCCCTACCTTCGACAGGAAGGATCGAAGAGAATACCACCTGTGCTCCAAACTCCTTCACCCATACTCCAAGCCTTGTAGTCACTCTTGATCTGCTCAGTGTCACACCTCGCAGTATCATTTGTGCCCACATGGATGAGTAGCATGGGGTAGTAGACAGAGGGCCGGATAATCCTCGACAATGCCTCCGTAACATCTTGGATACGGGCCTCCGGCAGACAACATACCTCCCGAGATGAAGTGTCAGGGCGACAGATGGGTGCCTCCGTCCCTCTCAGAAGAGAGTCTCCAACCACCACTACTCTAAGTTTCCTATTCGCAGTGGTGGCAGCAGACTTCCCAGCCTTGGGAGTATGAGGCTTCTCCTCCTCCGTTGCAGGGGGTGATAACTCATCTCCTGTATCAAGAAGAGCATAACGGTTTCCTAGTACCACGGCGGGAGGGTTTGGAGCAGGGGTGGAGCAGTGCCTACTGCCAGAAGTAACCAGCTGCCAGCGTCCACCCCGAGCCGTCTCCTCCTCCACCAGCAGTGTGCCCGCAGTCCTGTGTACTGGGACAGCTGTCTCCTCATGAACACGGTCCAGTAATTGCTCATGGATTCGGGTGCTCCTCAACCTAGCCACCTCCTCCTGTAGCTCTCTCACCTGCTGCCTGAGCGATTCCATTAGCAGGCACCTTTCACATTGGATGATCTCCCCAGCCTGGATATCAATAAGCAGGATTTCAAGCCACAGTCCTTGCAAAACCACATCAGGATCTGGGTAGAGGCATCCATGCTCAGGTGCTCTGTCTGGCTACAGGCACAGGTGGAGGAGAGAGAAGCAGTGCTGGCACACGTGTTGTGGGTCTTCCTGACATCTATCAAACTCCCTCTCAAACTCCCCTGTCTGCAGCCCCCTGTCCGCTTTTGCTCCCTGGTCGCTCTGCCTCTGGTTTTTAAAGCCTGCTTGCCTAGGCCAGGCCTGCCCCCTCGTTAGTCACACAGGGGAGGGCTGACCAGATGCAATCAAGAGAGCAATTGAGGGAACAAAGGGTCAGGCACTCAGTCCCAACTGCCACAGCAACTGAAACTGCAGTCACCTGAAATCAGAATTCAACAAACAAAATTCAAACAGTCGAGCAAACTCACTTTCACCAGGTAGCCTCGCGATTGACGGGTTGGTGACCCCAGTTGTAGGGAATGATCTCTATATGTATGCCAGGAAGCCATTGATCCCGATGGAGATGAATGGCATAATGAAAATCTGCTCCTATGCCCGCTGCCATAGTCAGTTCTTGGTGAGAACAGCGTAGAAGAGTGGAGAGCCCTTTCAGGCATCTTAAGGTGCCCCAGGTATAGGACACCACTGAGGAGCACAGTGAGCAAGCTCCTGATCTGAGCCATGTGCCTGGCTGAGGAGATTTTTGTGCAGCACTTTATGTTGCGGTGCTGGAGCATGGTCGGGTGCTGGAGTCCAGTTTGTTGAGGCACTTGTAGGAGGTGGTGGTGGTAACTGACTCAGCTCTCCTGGCTGGTGCAGACTTGTGTTTCTCCACAGTGCCAGAGACTGAGGGCACCAGGGAATGAGAGGCTCTGGACGGTGCTGGTAATGAGCATTCTGGGGAAGCTCTTGAAGCTTGTGAGCCTTTGCAGTGGTAAAGCAGCCATCACTGGTCTTCTGCTGTCCCTGTGTGTCCTCAGGTTTGTCCCATGGAGGTTGTAGGCACTTCTCCCAGAGGAGGTTTTTGAACTGAATTTCATGGTCTTTTGTGGCTCTGACTGTCATGTTCTGACAGTGCAGGCACTTATGTGCCACATGAGTCTCTCCCAGGCATTTAACACAGGAGGCATGGCCATGAGAAATGGGCATTGAGTCTCAGCAAGAGTCGCATCTTTTAAAGCTGGGAGAACCTGGCATGTTGAAGAAAAAAAAGCTGGGGTGGTGACACTTTTTTTATTAAATAAATGAACTTTGAAAATTAGCCTTAACTGACTAAACTAAGTATAGTAATTTTGTTTTTCCTGTCAGGAAGAAGAGCACTGCTCTGACTCCATCTTTGGCTGACGGGGCTTGCACTGCATGTGCACTCAACAAACGGCAGAGGCGCAAGATGCTGGGTCTGCAGGCACGGCATAAGGGGCACTGCTCACTAAAAAATCTCCGATCAATAGCGTGAGGACGCACCAAGACCTGAGTGGAGCACCCACAGGGACACCACTCAATGAAGAAAGTTTGGTTCTGGTGCAAGTCAGGACTGAGTCGGCTGCCTTCTCCTATCGACTAATCAAGTAGTTGATAAAAATTCTATTGACTATTAGATTAGTCAAAACTGCATTTTAACATCCCTAATCAGTATACATGTCTAATAAGTATTTAGTTGCATATACAGATCACAGTTGCCAGCAGGCATCAACTCCAGTACCTTCAGCCACAAAACCAGAGGACCCTCCATGTGAGCTAAAGCAGGGGTGGAGAATCTCACATTCACTTCTAGCAATAGGGTTAGAAACACCACTTGTAAATGAAAACCTTATTACAATTTATTGTTTGTTCATGACAAGAAGCATTTCATGCTCTTGAATTTTCAGATTGTTGTACTGAACTAAACATGTAGCAGCTTCCTTTTAAGCAACTTTACAGACTAACAAGTTTATAAACATTTAGGAAGCTACCACAAGTATTAAAATCATAAATAGCTGTTAAAAATCAAACATCTATCTACTTTATATACTTTCAAATATAAGAAAAAAGAAAACATTAACTTTAGTGAAAAAACTTTCACCAGAGATCTTGTGGGCTCCCATCATGCAAATATTTTACACATGCTTAATTTTATTGACATGAGAGAGTCCATTGATTTCAATGGGAGTACGCTCAGTAAAGTTAAGCATGGGTGTGATCACAGAATTGGTGCATAAGTCCCATTGAAAATCAAATTTTGAAAATTTTTCTGTGTACAGGTTGGACCTCTCTAGTCTGGCACTTTCAGGACCACGCCCATCCCTCCCTCCAGCTTGGTTCCAGCCCCACAGCCACTGGGCTCCATCCCTGCTGTTGAAGGGCTTGGGCTCAGCATGGTGCTGCCAGCCAGCTGGGGCTCTCCAGAGACAGCTCTCCAGCCACCACAGCCCCACTTCTGCCCTGTCCAGCTGAGGGGACAGGGCTCTGTGGCTGCCCCACTATTGATGTGCCCCACCAGGGCTTCCCAGAGACAGGGCTCACAGGCTGCTGGTGGCCTTGTTGCTGCTGCACCCCACTGCTGCCGTGCCAGGGCTCCATGGAGATAGGTCTCTCCAGTCTGAGTTGCCCTGACTGGCTGGGGCTCCCAGGGGCAGGACTCTGTGGCTGCCCTGCTGCAGCTGTGCCAGGATGGGGCTCTGCAGGGATGGGCGCACTGGTCCTGCTGCTTCTCTGCCTGGCTGGGGCTCCCCAGTCTGATGGTAGAGCTCCCCTCCTCTGGACTTGCTGACTAGCTCACATTCCCGGGTGCTGGGTCTTTCTGGTTCAACTTGTACCTAGTTTGAAATGATAATCCTTCATTTTCCTCTCTTAGCGCTAACCAAAAGTTTTAATATTGGGGAAAAAAAAATTCCAAACAACTTTACTGGTAGTAAAATTTTTCACTAAAGTATAATTGTACATGTAGAATGTATTCTTTAATTTAGGTGGATTAAATCTTACATAGACACACTTGGCTAAATTTACTTCAAAACTACAGCAACCTATAGCATGTATTTTGCACTTTAAAACATATGGTCTAACTCAAAACAAGTTGTTTAATAAAAGTATTTCAGTAAGAGTTTAAGAACTTCTGGCAAGGAATTCTCATTGGAAAAACCTTTATTTGTACTTAAAATTAAACATTAGTATTCCCATTTACTTCTAACAATACTAAAAAGCAATCCATAAAATGTCTGTCATACTAGACTTTGCCAACATTTAACTTCATAAATAGCTTTATACTCTTGAAGTTAATTTTGATGTACCTGAGAAATACAAATTTTAAGCAAATAAATACGCATTTACCTTCTCCAATTTTTTCCTTAATTTTGAATACATTTACAAGCTGTGGAACTGCTTCATAAAGTTTTTCAATATCTTTTTTTACTTCTGTTGGGGAAATAAGGAAAACAGAAAATATTTTGTTTGGTCTTAATATACTAATTAAACTTCAGGACACAGGTTAATGACAGTGAAATTACATAAAAAGTAGTATGAAACAAACCAAAGCTCTGGTTCTGCAGAGACACATCCAGATAGATTTGGAAAACACTCAGGTTTAACTTTGTTTAACTTTATGCACATGAATATGTTTGCAGGTTTAGTGCCCAAGACTGTAGAAGAGTGGTTAAGTTTTATTCCAATTAATATGATGCAAGACACCTGACATATTCCCATTAAAATACTGTAAATGGTCAAAAAATGTACAGATGGCTTGAGATTCATGATCCAGATCTCTGTTTAAATTTGGTGGCTCTGATCTACCTTCATGGTAGGGATGTGAATGGTTAACCGGTAAGCATCACCATTATTGGGTGATGCTTATCAGTTATGGTTAACCAGTGGGCTAGAGCAGCCCCCTTCCAATGCGGGGAGGGGTCTGCTCCAGCCCAGCAGGGTCCACAACAGGCAGGACCTGCTTGGGGGAGGGGGAAGCTGGAGCCCTCCCTCCCCCCCATGCCAGTTTTAAGCAGTTAACTGGTTAATAATAATGTTTAAATGGGAAAACATTGATGATGACCTTGCAGCAGTGAAATTTGTTCTCTCCAATTGAGAGAGATGTTAAACTCTGTTCCTCCTGATATAACTGCTAATTGAATGTTAACTGAATACAAACCATATCACACCCCGTTCCCCCATCATGCCCCATCATTGCTGCTACAATATTTTGTTTAAAACTCTTAAATTGCTGCCACTCAGCGGTATGGCCAACCTTAATAGGATCTCAGATTATAGTTCAGAGACTAACATACATATGAAATTAATGTCACCATTTCATAGAAGATTTATCTGCACAGACTGCTGAAAAATTAGTATGTAAGAGGTAAACTTCAAAGAATAAAAGACAAAAGGGAAGTATTAGGAAGGCAAACTCAGACGTATCATCATTGGAGGGCTGTTAAAGTTAAAAAAGCCTTGTTAATTAAATTGTATTTTTATACTAAAATCACTAGATGGCATCACAAGAATATTACATTCTGACTGGAAAACTAAGACATTTCATTTAAAGGTTGGGCCCTTTGTCTTTTAGTGTCATCCTTTATCAACTTCTGTAACACCAGTGTTAGACTCTTAAGTCCATATTAGACACCTAGACAAATGGCCTGATGTGTCAAAAGTAGTGAGAACCAAAAACTCATTGGTCCATACTTTTATGGAGTTTGTGGCTAATTACTGCAGCAAGGGTAAAATGTCCCTACAATGGATGTTTTTGCATAACCACCATTATCATTCATAAGCTATTTTGTAGGTTTCCAACTCATATGTATTATGCATAGAAGCATAGAAAGCACTGATAAATATGAACAATGAAAATGAATTTATGAATACTCACTCATAACAGAGACTACAATAGGCATATAATAATATCCCAATAAAAAACCCATACATCACCCCAAATGAACAAATTTCACCGCTCCAACTTCAGCAGAAGTCTGAAATGTGACACCTGAATTTTTCCCCTGCTTTCAAGAACCTGAAAACAAATTTTGTTATGTCCTTGTGCAGAAGTAATTGTTATGTGGACCAATATGGAGATATGTGCTGCATCACCTCCATATTGGTGCACATAAAAAAAGATCTGTGGTAGGGGTGCAGATTGAGGGATTTGCAGTGTGGGAGCCCAAGATATTTGGAGTGCAGGAGTTAGCACAAGGGAGGAGGCTGAGGTGGGGGTGTAGGCCAGGTCTAGGTGTAGCACAAGGGAAGAGGCTCCAGTTGGGGTGTAGGATGGGTCTAGGAATTTAGGGTGCAGAAAGTAGGGACATGAACAACTGGTCAACACACTAGTTGACTAGTCGCTTCCACCCCCTTGATGCCTCTTTCAGAAAGAGGCAGCAAGGGAGGGGGAGAATGGGGGTGCTTCAAAGCAGCAGCGCCAGGTGGATCCTGGGGTCTGCCATTTTTGAAACACCACGTGCAGCCCAGGATCAGCTGGGAGGCTGCAAGCAGCATTTCAAAGTGGCAGCACCACGTGGAACCCGGGTTCACTGAGGACTCCCCCACTGACCCTGGGCACCATACGGTGCTGTTACTTTGAAACGTTGTGAGGAGCATGGGGCTAGCGAGGGACTGCTTGAGTCCCCTGCTGGCCCCGTGCTCCTGCAGCACTTTTGCTTTTGAAGTGTAGCAACAGCCCTGGGGCTGTTACTACACTTCAAAGACGAAAGAGCTCTTATCGACTAATCAAATAGCTGATGCAAATTGCATCAACTATTCGATTAGCCCATTAATCTAAATTTAACATCCCTAGTAGGAATGGACTGAGGGTTGGGTTTGGGGTCTAGGAGAGAGCTAGGGTGTTGGAGTGGGGCTCTGGAGTTGGAATGCAGGAACTGGGAAAAAGTCAGGGTGTAGGAGGGAGTTGATGGTTAGGAGTTGGGGGTACATGGCAGTTACCTGCAGCAGCTCCCATTTGAGGGTGTGTGGGGGGGGGGTGCGCGCACACTTCTGCTCACCTGCAGACAATACCTCCTGCAGCTCCAGCTGGCCTCTTACCCGCCATCCTGTCAAAAAGGGCTGGCCTAGAACCCAGAGTCTTTATGCGCTGCAGCCCTGGAAGCCTTTCTTAATCCAGCCCTGCTGCTGGGTCCAGAGGAACATGTCGCTCCCCTAGCTATGGCACTCCCTGCTGAGGGGTCTCCTCCAACCCCAGCAGGTAGCTCCTGCAGCTGGGGGAGAAGGCTCTATCCTGGCAGCTTTGTGGGTAGCAGCCCTGAGCTCCTCATTATTAGGCAACTGTACTGCAAAACATCTTAGAGGAAACCCTGGAAATTCCATTTTAAATAACTTTTAAATAAAATTTTACAACTAGTTGAATTAATATCAAACTGCTTTAAAACTGCTCAAGGCTACTGCCCCCCACACTACGTATTTTACCCAGTCTCCCTCATCTTTTCCCCCCAATTGCTAAGTCTTTTCTCCTTTTAAAATATGCTCATTAATAGCTGTTACCCGTCCAGCCTTTCCACACTTGTAGCTATACTGCAAAAACAAAATTCATGTTAAATTGAGGGGTTTTTAAGACACTGCCACTAGTTGATATTGGGCAAGTTACAATGCATCAGATCTCTTTTAGAAGAAAAGACATTATCTATTTCACCCTGTAATACTTGTTTTGAAGTGTTTCAGTGACTAGACTGTAAAGAGGGTAAAAAAGCACAAATGATGAATTAAGCAAAGCAGCTAAGCATCCTACCCATTCCTGAATCCTATGAAAGCATGATAAACAGGGGACTTTGTATGGCAGGTATGTTACTAGGGGTTATTCCTTGTCGGTTCTAAAGTAAGAGCTTAATGTTCATGTCAACATTTTTGCTTTGACTAACAGAGCAAACAGTTCAGAAATTTATTCTCTGCTACACCAATGACATAAATTAATGCTTCAAATATTAATAACATAGATCTGCCCCTGTGGTAGAAATGGATAGTAACAAGCAAAAGCTTTTATTAAACAGTTATATAGTATATTAAACACAAGAATTACAACACAATTTGTTTTAACTCTAAGTGTTATTTCTTAATTTTGTTTTATTTGTACCAGGGATGTTAGATATCAGGTAACTGAACAGTTGTGTAACATCATGAAATTCTAGTGGTTACATGACTATTCTATAGTTCCTGGGGGTGGAGCCACAGCCAGTGTGCTCCTGGCTTTACTCCGAGGGAGTCCCCTGCAACTCCGCACTGCTGCCTCTGTTGCCACTACAGCAACGCGTGATGACAGATGGGAGATGGTCTGTGAGGAGAGCCAGTTTAAAAACCAGCTCCCTGTGCAGACCAGCTGCCTGCTGCCACACGCTGCTGCCTTGGATACAAAGTCCAAGTTCCCCACTGCAGGAGTCCAAGCTCGCTGCGAACAGAGGCTGCTGGACTCAGCGCGAGCCAGGACCAAGCAGTCCTGGCTCGTGCAGACGCTGTGCATCTGCATTTTAAATGTAGTAAGAGCCCAGCTCTGCAGAACGATCCTATCAACTAATCGTACAGTCGATACAATTAGCTTGGTAACTGCAGTTTAACATCCTTAGTTTTTGTCATTTTCACAAAAAAAAAACCATCAAACTCAATTCTGTTAGGAATCTTGAGACATCTTTAGAAGTTTGATTTTTAAAATTTGCTATCGCAGCACACAAATATTTTCAGATGTTTAATAGAAATTTACCTCTTACATACCAATTTCTCAGCAGCCTATGCAGATTGGTTTTCTATGAAATGGTGATGTTATTAATTATATATGTATGTTAGTCTTTGAACTATAATCTGAAATTCTATTAGGGGTTGGCCACATTGCTGATTGGCAGCAATGTAAGGCTGTGTCTCCATTGGGAAGATATTGCGCAAAAGCAAACGCATTTGCGCAAAATCTTGCTGCCTGTCTACACTGGCCGTGAGTATTTGCGCAAGAACACTGATATTCTACTGTATGAAATCAGTGTTTCTTGCGCAAATACTCTGACACTCCTGCTTAGGGATAAGTCTTCTTGCGCAAGAGGCCAGTGTAGACAGGTAACATCAATTTCTTGCGCAAGAAAGTCCGATGGCTAAAATGGCCATCGGAGCTTTCTTGCACAAGAGAGCGTCTACACTGGCACGGATGCTTTTGCGCAAAAGCAAATCTTTTGTGCAAAGGCACATGCCAGTATAGACACTCTTGCACAAATACTTTTAACGGAAAAACTTTTCCATTAAAAGTATTTGCGCAAAATTATGCCAGTGTTGACGCAGCCTAAGAGTTTTAAACAAAACATTGTAGCAGCACATACATTATAGAGCATGATAGAGGGGGCAATATTGTTTGCATTCAGTTGATATTCAATTAGTTATGTCAGGAGGAGCAGAATTTAACATCCCTCTCAATTGGGGTGTTCCAATTTAAACATTATTACAACCGCTTAACCGCTACAATCAGAGCCTAATGGGTACCAATGCCCTTCTAAACAAATGTTAGTGAGATAATCCATTCAATCAGCTTGATTTCAGCCAGAGTCTGTGCCAGCTTCCATTGGCAGAATTCTGTCAAGGCACAGGACACTCCACCAGATGATCTGAAGCTTGATGTCACAGATACCAAAGTGGCTGGCATTAATCCAAGAGGCAGTGTGGTCAGAACGCTTAGAGAATGCACTAATTCAACACAACACTTGCTGTTGGGGATCCTGCAGAGATGTGGGAACAAATTATGGCTGCCCCAGTAGTTGCAACCACCTGTCTTCTCCTGGGGGTGGGATGGAACTTCCCCCATTGCTGCAAGAGAATGACTGTGCAAGGCTATTGATGATGTCTGACTTCTAGTTCTCAAGATCAAATCCTGCCCAAAATAGCAGTGACCTGACATCACCACCATTACAGTTACAGGGAATAACTTGGTGGCTAATTCCAATTTTAGTACTTTCACAAACTCCAAACATACCATCATAAATGACACCCAGAGACGCTAGCAATTGGGAATGGGAATGAAAATTCAGCTACCGTCTCACCATCTGAAGGACAAGGCTGAGACACATCCTGAAGTACAATAGAGAAGTAGCACCGTGTCCCTTGTCTTTAGCTAGATAACTTTGATCTTAAGGGCTTTCAATATGGAAGTCCTCACAAATATTATCTTTTCCTTATATATTAAGGAAAATAGCTCTCTTAGGACATAATTTTAGAATATATTGTTATAAAATTAACAAATTTCATAGTAGTATTATTTTACTATTCACAGATCCTATTGGAATACTGCTGCTGCTGCATATGGTGCAGAAATAAGCCTGAAACTATCAATTCAAAGCTCCTGAAAGCTATGGGTTTTTTTTTTTAATGCTTTTCCTTTCATAACTTATTACATGTATTCTTTGTGTAACAAGACCTTATCCAACAATAGTGAAAAGTCTCAAGTCAATGGGATGGGAAAGAGAAACACAGCAACAAAAATTTTTTATCATCAGCCTCTACTGTAAAATACATACCTGACAACTTGCTGTTCTTTTCATGTTTCCTATAGAAATTTTCAGCCTGCAGCGGAGGCTGTTCATCCTGAAGAGCCTTCAAGGATGATTCCATCACAAAACTAACAAAAGTAAAATACAAGGGCTTAAGGACAATGACTCCTATGATCTAGGAAGAGAATGCCTAGGCCTACTTGCTCCCACTCTCCTAACCAACCTAACAAGACAGAGAGAGGACATTAGGGTTGGGAAGTCCCTTACCACTAACTGAAAGTGAAATCCCTCCCACATCCCCAGAAAGCAAGAGATTTAACATGAATCAAATCCTCATCAACAGCAAGAGGGGAGGCTAAGCAAGCAAATCATTACCTTCCATCCCCAGAGTGTTTCTTCACTAACACATAGCATCATCCTACTCCCAAATCCTGCTGTAGAGAGAAAATGCCTTGATTTGAACATGGATGATTAGCCTGTGTCACCACCTGAACTGATAACTCTACACTGCTCTTTGTAACCTGCTAGATCAAATGAGTCTGTCTGTCAGGCTGGGAACCTCCCTCCCGCTGCAACATAGACAACCCCTGAATGCCTGGTTCAAAGTCTCACAAAAAAGCTGGGGAAGAGGAGAGACTTAAATCCAATCCTAGGTAAGGCCCTAACCTAGGGGTGGGCAAAAGGGTCTCCATGGGCTGGATCTAGCCCGCCAAGTGGGTTGATCGGCCCAAGGAGGCCCTGCCACTCCCCCTACCTCAGGCCAATTAGGGCTTATGAGTAGAGGGGAAGCACACAAAGTTTCCTCTGCCCTTGAGCGTGCAGTGCTTAGAAGCACCACATGCTCCTGGCAGGGCGGGAGGAGACTGTGTGGGTTCCCCCACCCACACACCTTAATTGGCCTGGAGATGGGGGGAGCACACAAAGTTTACTCTGTCCTGCCCCCACCTTGCGAGAAGCATGTGGCACTTAGATGCGCCATGCACTCCAGGCAGGGCAGGAAGAGACTTTGTGCACTCCCCATCCGCCCCCAAGCCCTGGTTGGCCTGGAGGCAGTGGGGGGAGCATGTGAAGTCTCCTCCCACCACTGGGGCACCTAGGGGGAACCTATTGAGGGAGGAGGCAAAGACTTCACGTGCTTCCTTTCCCCAAGACCAATCATTGTCTATGGGTGGAGAAGCAGGCAAGTATCCTGGCCCTGCCGGGGCAGACCAGGGTCATTTCAAACATTTCTGAGGTGGCCCCCGGCAAAAAGTGATTGCCCACCCCTAGACTAGAGGGTCATAGAGTAGCTCCAACAGTACTCAATTACTTTGTTAAACATCCAAGAGTTATTTGGCGCTGCAGTGTTGCTACCTGCTGTACACAATCTGGCTGTGAAAGCTGAGGGCTGCGTAGTAGGACAGGATGCATGGCACAGCACAGCAATCTGGTGGCAGAGACACACAGCATGCTTTTGCCAAACATTTGGAACCACCTAGTGTGGAAATGATCAATGCAGAATGCTTTCAGAATTCATAGGAAACCCAGGTAATTAAGATCATTTGCTGGTCAGTACTGCATGGCAGCAGCTGAACAAACACTTACTATCCAAAATGCCTGAATGGTGATTTGGATTGCATGTAGGTTAAATTTGTTGCTGTCCTTGAACATTTCTACATGTGTTTCCAGCCTTGTGAGCACGTTATTGGTGTACGATTTTGGCATCCCCCGCTGAGGTTTAGTATTTTATCAGCACTAGTCTGCAGCTAAGGTTGCGATCAAGATTTATTTGGTCATGCTTTTTTTGGCCTTGGAAAGGCATGGATGTTCAGAAACTCATTTCCTCCTCATGAGACTGTGTTTAAAAAAGCTGCTAGTATGAAGCTACTGCTGTTGAAATAACATGGGATTTTTAACATGGGATTTTTAAATAAATCTGGATAGTAGTACACCCTGTAGGTAGGAAAAGGGGGAAGGTAGGATTTTGAAGTGATTGGAAGGTGGTTTTTTAAAATCTTTTAATATATTATATACCATTAATTCATAGATACTTATCTTTGGCTGTGGCAATGATACTGTAACTATTTATTAGGATGACAGTTACATTATACAAATTATGATGACTACCATCATGTAAACTTTTGAATAAACATATACCTCTGCTTAATAATCTCATTTTTAATTGCCTTGTTCTTACTAATGCTCATTCCCCCCCATCACAAGTATATCAGAATAAGTCATTATTTTTAAGGTACTGCTCGTATAGCTTAGCTTGTGATATAAACACTAAATTCATTAGCAGCATGCCTCCTGACATGCTGCTGCATGTCTCTACTTAGGAGGTGGATGGGGTAGAAATTTCCTTTGTGTGCCCGCACAAGCGCGCAGCTTAGAGAGAACTATGCCCACTGGGCCGCCAGCTGGGCATTCCTACAGTAAGCACCTCCTGGCCAGAAACTGCACTTGGCACCCCCTCCTACATACTCCTGCTTCCAGCCCTGATTCATCTAATCTTAGCTTCTCTTCCCACTTTGTCCCTCCTACTCTTTCCTCCCCGAGCAGCTTGTCGCAGTTCTCTGGTTCCTCATCATGTATCTCCTCACCTTCTGTCCCACATGTTCTCAGTCCCCTTCTACCTGACCCAGTGCCCCCTCCTTTAATGCCTCAATCTTCTCCTCACCCCGTGGTCCAGATGCATTTGAATTCAAATCATGCAGCTTCCTCATCCAGTGGGGAGGGATGTCATTCAAAGTTGAAGAGAGGATTTTCTTCCTGCTCTCTGTTGAAACGCTCTAACTGGCATGGCTTGCAGCAGCCAAGAGTTGCAATTGCAGGGAAGTCCTGCTCACCATGAACTGGAGCATATCTGGTACAGATGAGAACTTCAGGGAATGTAGGTGGTAAAATCTTAGGTATCTCTACTGACTGGTACAAACTGAAATTTTTTTCAAAATGCTTATTCCTTGACCAAATTTGGACAGACTTTCATTGAGAGAGCAAAAGGCACATATCCCTGATAAAAAGGCCATTCCATGCTAGATTTCATGGTCTGCTCTAAACTATAAAGACACTACAAATTTAAGTCACCAAAAATTTTTAACATGCAGAAAATAATGCATCTTTCTGTTAGTCTTAATCTTGCTTTTAGAAATGGCTGAACTGTATTAGTTGGAATTGTCCAGAAAACTTAATCCTGAGGCAAACACCCGGCATGGAAAATATCAGCTCAAACCATTAAAATTTGGCAAAAATATAAACAGCTGAAAACAGGGTCTTACAATAGAAGAATCAGGCAATCTTATGAATAGGTGAGCCTAGTACATGGGATGAGGTCATTCCAAGAATTTGGTAAGTGGTCAGAGGCTGCAATTTTCTAGGATATTGATGGAAGGGCTGCAGGGTCTGGAATGAAGTTTGGGTACAGGAGAGAGCTCTGAGTTGGGTATTGGGGTGCAGGAAATGCTAGGGGGGTCTGGTAGAGAGTTTGGATTCAGGAAGTGGTCCTACCATGGGCTGGGTGCAGGGGGGGGTTCTGACCTGGGGCAGGGAATCAAGTTTAGTGCAGGAGGGTTGTAACCTAGAGCAGATCAAGTGCCAGTAAAAAGGAAACGAACTGGTAGGGCAAGAAAATTGAGAACAAGGAGCTGTTGGGGGGAAAACTGGAACCAGACACACAAGGAGACAGAGTTGTGGGGGAAGGGTGAGACTAAACTTTTCTGAGTAAGGAGACTGGGGATAAGAGACTATGACCATCAGTAAGGAGAATGGGACTAAGATGGATTATAGGTGGAGGATAGACAAGGCTGGGACAGGCAGAAGCTGAATGCAATGGGCATAAGGGATCAAATTTGGAGGGAATGAGCAGAAGAGGCTGGGCCCACTGCTTGCTAGAGTACACTGCCCTCAAGAGCCTGGAATGGAATCCAGGATTCCAGAGTGCCATTATTCCTTTGCTGTCAACAAATATCTGTGAAATGATATTGCAGTTTCCCATCCTCATCTAGGATTGCTTCAAATAGTGAAGAACAAACTAAGGTAATTTCCTTATTTAACAGCATACAAAACTATGCATAGATTTACATGTAAAGAATAGTACTGAGATTGCAAAACCAAGGGCTCAAAAGTTAGAAAAAACAAATTAAGATTATGGACCCTACCTTAATTGGGCAGTTCTGCATATGCATTATAATATAGTTTCTCTTAGAAAGAGATCATGTAAATAAAAATAGACTACGTGGGTACATCTCCACTGCAGAGCTATTATGCTCATTCAAATTGTTTAGCCCTGCAAGATAATTAGCTGTTGTTAATTATCCCGGAATAGTATTCCACATATATTGAAGTAGTTCTTTATTTCAAAATAGATTTTGAAACAACAGTCAGATTATTCTGATGTCCCGATAACCCTCATTCCACAAGGGTTAAGGAGAATTTCAGAATAGTGCATTATTTTGAAATAAGCTATTTTGAAATACAATCGAAATAAACTATGCAATTTGCGTAGCGCAAATTGATTAGCTTATTTCGAGCTAAGGATGCTGTGTAGATGCACTCTGGGGGAAAATCATTAGAGACTCAGTAGCCCCTTTGGAAAAGCCAACTCATCTCTGACACAGAACTGAGGAATAAGCATTGCAACACTGAAATGCCACAAAATTCCATTGACGCTGCTTTGCCCTATACTAAACGACAATAAACAGTATATGATCTTTTTAGTGCTTGGCATATCACAAACAAGATATGCAGGTACAATTCTGCTAGTTTTTTCACAATTCAGCTAATGTATTAAGCTTATAACATTTCACATTTTCCACAGATAAGCCTTCTCTTACAGTACAAAAAGTAGACATACCTACATAATTAGTGTTTGAGCAACAGTATGTCAGTACTTCCGGACAGAAGAAAAACATCTGGGAGTTGTCAAAGCAGGTTAACTTTACAAGATAGCTCCCTTGTAGCAGACTCCTGGTCAAATACACACTTTCCACTGCATTTAAACTGCAGCCTCAACACATAAATATTAAAAACCAAGCATAAGCTAACAAACTTTGTCATTTAGTTTGTATATAATGTACAGACTCTGAAACGAGCGAGTAGAAATGCTGTCCAACAGATATAGAATCATAGACTACTAGACCTAAAAGGGACCTTGAGAGGTCGAGTCCAGTCCCCTGCCCTTACGGCAGGACCAAGCACTGTCTAGACTAGCAGTGCACAACCCCTGGGTTGCGACCCCCAAGGGGGTTGCGGCTGTCTTCCAGGGGGTTGCAGTGCCAGGTCGTCCGTTATTTTTTTCCTGACATGGCGTACATGTGGTGGCTGCAGGGAGAGCGGCAGGCAAGCGGAGCAGCATTTAAAGGGACTGCGATTTTTTTTGGGGGGGGGGGGCTCAACCAAAATTTTCCCAGGCGTTGCATCAGGAAAAAGGTTGCATACCACTGGTCTAGACCATCCCTGAGAGATGTCTATCTAACCTGCTCTTAAATATCTCCAGAGATGGAAATTCCACAACTTCCCTAGGCAACTTATTCCAATGTTTAACCAGCCTGACAGTGAGGAAGTTTTTCCTAATGTCCATCCTAATATACACAGGATTTAGTATTCTACTTTTTTTTTTGAAAAAATAAACCATATGGGGACAGTTTTATGTTCAGAACATAGGTGTGGCTTCCGCTACTAAACAGCTATTGCCCAAAAGAATTTACCAGGTGTATTACCGGAGACAACCCCCAGATGCTAAACACGGTGGATCACGAGGCCAACGCAAGAGGCGAGCGCAAGTGCAGGGAACTGTGGAGGAAGGTGCTAACTCTCCCTGGGAGCTTGGGTCCAAGGAAGAAAGAGGGGAGGGTACAAAGTCTGAGCCGCGCGTCTGTATGAGGCGCTGGGTGGAAGTTACAGCAACGCGGGCCCCCGACGACGACAACCCCCAGATGCTAAACACGGTGGATCACGAGGCCAACGCAAGAGGCGAGCGCAAGTGCAGGGAACTGTGGAGGAAGGTGCTAACTCTCCCTGGGAGCTTGGGTCCAAGGAAGAAAGAGGGGAGGGTACAAAGTCTGAGCCGCGCGTCTGTATGAGGCGCTGGGTGGAAGTTACAGCAACGCGGGCCCCCGACGACCACGCAGGTGACCAGGACGCTAGTTGCCCTCTCCCCTTCCAGCGTCTCGCTCCCCAGCGTGGGAGACTGGTCGCACGCGGCGCCGACCGGACCCCGCGCCAGGGC